TTGTCCTCATTCTCAATAAGGATCAAGCGATCCTTGGTCTTGACCTGTCCTGAGATGGTTGTACCTTTCCACTTTTTGCCCTTGTCTAGGTCCTTRTGCCAAAAAGTGGAAATTGACATGGACCGCACTTCAAAGGCTACCACTTCCCTGCTCAAAGTGTCGTAGGTCATCGTAGGTTGCTGACTCTTCTCAAAGAAATGCCCGCGCAGCTGTTCGGGCATTGCACGATAGAAGAGGTTGACCAGTTGGGTCTAAGTGACCCCATGGTGGCGACTAGGTCGTCCATCACACCCTAGAGTGCTCCAGCACTCTTTCACTGAAGGGAGTGGATGGTTTGCAATCTATCGGAGGCTTTGACACTGCGTGAGACATTTGCGAATCGTTCGCGCAATAACTTAAGGAAGTTAGTAAGGGGAGTGAACACAGAATAAGCAACTAAATCATCATTACAGTTGGCGGCGCGGCACAAGGAATGGGCGAAGCTTGCTGCTTCGTCTCGGAGGGCATTGACGGCTATAAGGACATGCTCGTCCGGGGAGACCTTCTGCAGATGTGCGTAGGTTTTGACATTGGCTTCCCAATTGTCAAAATTCTCCTTTTTCTTCCCGCTATAGGAGTCAGGGAACTTGACCTTGACAAGCTCCCTTCGGGGACGTGCTTCCTCCTCCTTAGGAGCAGTCAGTCTGGCGCCTTCTATGGCGCCCGTGCAATAACGCTTCGTGCCCTCTAGGCGAGCCTTCACCTCTGAGCCCACCTGCGTCGCTAATTCCTTTGCCAAGTCCCTGAGTCCCAGCTGTATAGAGTGCAAGGTAATGTCCTGACCTCTACCAAACAGATATTGTTCTTCCTGGACTTGGGCCAGGCGCTCTATGTTTCTCGCCATGATCTCCATCTTCCCCAGTAGGTCCACCTGCGTCGACATCTGCGCTCTTTGCTTCTTTACCTCCTCCAATTCTTTCGCCGCTTCGCTCGCGGCCTCCATTCTCTTTTTCTTCTCCCTCGTCAGTCGGAACTTCCACTCCATCCTCTTCTCATCTTCTATAGCCTGCCGCTTGAGTGGGTCTTCTTCTGCATCCCACTCTCTCATGGCCGCCTCTTGTTCTTCCTGGGCACATACATTAGTGCCTCCTTTTCTTCTCCCAAGGACAAACCAGCAACCCACTTCGTCATCTTCTTCTCCATTTGATCTTCCTTTGTTCCACTGGATTCTCCTCTCCCTCCTGTTCTTCGCCTTTCCAGTGGCGGTTCTTCTACCTCTTCCTCCTCTTCTACCGCCTTGAGCTTCTCTGCTTCTTCTTTCTTTAACCTCTCTTTTTCTCTGGCCATCTCCTCCTCAATCGTCTTCAACTTCGCCGCCTGTTCTTCTATCAAGGCCTTCTTCCTGGCCTCCTTCTCTCTTCTCTCTTTCAGGATGGCTGCGGCCTTCGCATCCTGCTCTGCTGTATAAGGGGAGGTGCTCGTTCTTATACGCGTGTCTACCATGGTAACAGACGCACAACCAAGTGACGGTTCCGCTTCGACGTCCCCCCTGACCGACTTACTTAAGACTGACTAAGTCTATGGACCACAGGATCCGTATAGAACCCTGTCAACTATGGTCTCTAGACTGGACTCTAATACTACAGCCGTCACTACAGGACCTGTTGCTGACCAGAAGGCATTTAAGGAGATCCCCCGTGACTCCTCAGGAATTCTTTAACGTCGCAAACAGGACGACGCGGTCAGCAGATCCTCTCAAGACTTAGACGGCCTGTTGTGCAGCCCACAGCTTGGATTTTGGGCCTACCGTGCCACACCGAGCAGCCCGCCGGCCAGTACCGGTCCTTGGGAGGGTTCGTGTCCTCCGGGACAGTCGAGTCGTCAGACACAGTCTTTAGCCCTACTCAGCCCGTGTGGGTTTGATCAACGAGGCCCTATCCTTCATACACGGAGTCCTATCACCTGGACAAAAGAGACTCCATGCAGAAAGAAGAGACATACAGACTCGAACTCAGCAAGTACCGTACGAGAGTGCACATCCATAGGGCGAGGGGATAGGCTAAGGGCTTGGCGAGATTATACCAACTCCAGCTTGGTCTAAATCGTGGTCAACGGCTCCCATCAACGCCTCGGTCAACGCTTGGTCATCGCGAACACACCCCGGTCAACGCTTCGATCAACCCTCTGGTCAACGCCCAGTCAACCTCTAGGTCGGCTATGGCTGCCGGCACCTTCTTCCTCGCCAACCTCCCTTCTCTTCCTCCTCCACCTGTCTTCTTTCTCGCCCTTTCTCCTTTTTTTTTTTTTCCCTTTTTTCACCCCCACTGTCTGCCTTCCACTTCGTTGTCCCTCCTTCCTTCTTCCTCTCCGATCTCCCCTACCTTCTCTACTTCACCTTCCTCTCTCCTCCGTGTCCTGAGCTCCGCGGCTATGGCCGCTAC